ATACATACATACATACATACATACATACATTGACGTGAATACATACATACATACATTGACGTGAATACATACATACATACATTGACGTGAATACATACATACATACATTGACGTGAATACATACATACATATATACGTATGAGTATACTTGTAGGTATATACGTGTACATATACATGTACATACATATGTATACACACATACTTGTAACATACTATGTATGTACATGTATATATTGGCTATCACACTGTACATACATGTATATATTTGGGGGGATTCCCGTGGGGTCCCGGGTTCGAGGCTTGTCTTGAATAAATGCACATATCTTAAGCTGGGGGTATTGCAAGTATATCTTGCTATATATATATATATTGATAGATAGATATAGCATAATACAATATACATTATGATTTGGGTAATGATGTCATAATCATGTTTTGAATTTTCCTCTTCTTACAATTCTATGTAATATTTTCTTTTTAAATCTTTTTTCGGAACTAAAAAAATTCAGAGTAAATTTGCATTTAAAATATTGTTTGGGTGCCATAGGGACTGTCTGAATTTATCTAGAAATCAAGTAACCTTTTAAGCTTTATAAAATACTTAATTAATATGAAAATACAACGAATATTATGTTCTCTATAATGAGTTCACATGTATATTTCGAATTTTCCCCTACTTATAGAAATTTAATTAATATTTTCATTTAAATTTCCTTCTCTGAATTTTAAAAAATAAGCGTGAATTTGCATTTCTAAATGTTATGTGAATATTTCTTGTAAATATAAACCATTGGCATTTCATACTTTTTTGATTTTTTAAAGAACGTAATGTGGGACATGAAGACCAACATTTGGCTTGTGGAGGTTGTCACTTCTGAATGATTTGTGGCATCTTTCACTAGCGCATGTGTGTTGGCGTTTCTAACGACTACGAGGAGGCATGGCATCTAGGCCACTTAGGAGTTTCTAATATTGTGCTCCAAAATCGTGTTACTTGGCCTTGATGAGGTTCGTGGTTTTGTTTTATTGGTATTGAGGCCATACTGGTATTGAGTTGTTAATTGAGTAGGTTTTTGCGGTTGATTGATTGATGATGTATTTGAGATCGGGAAACTTTAGCCATTTGGTGCAATTAGACTCATTTGGCATGCATGAAACCTGCCCAATTTTGTGTAAATAGGGTATTAATAATTTTTGGTACAGGGACGTAACCAGTCACCTATTTGAGGGGGGCAAATTAGGCGATATAAATAAATAAAATGAATAACATAATTTAAAATAATGTTTTCTATTCCATTATCATTGATAAATTGAAACATATTATAAACTTTTCAATTTATTTTGCATATTTTGATAATATTGCATAACAACTTCATTCATAACTTAATCAAAAACTTTTTTTTCAATGTACAGTACGAGACAATCATTATGTCAGTCATCAACCATTCGACAATGCAATTAATTTTTGACAATTGTAGAGGATGTTCTTTCAATTGTAGCAGTAGCAACTGATAAAGTTAATGCCAAGATAATAAGGTTTTAAACTAAATGATATACACCATTCTTCTTTGTCTGAACTAATTGTTTTGCAAGATCAACAATTCCATTTAGAGATGAGAAATCAGCACTATTTCGTATATCAGTAATATAAGTGGATAGTTGATGCTCAAATGCAACTAACTAAACAATAGAAAATTCAAATAGATATAATTCTACATAACGAATCAATTTGTCCTTATCAAAAGCAGAGAGTAAATCATTTGGGTTTAAACATGCCACATAAAGAAGTAGCTCAATACTTGCTTTTGAGAAACTACTGTTTAATTTTTGAAGTTTCATGTCGATCATAGTATAAAATTATTCAACATGCTAATAATGTAAATTTGTAATTTTTTCACCTCTTAGTGTTGACCAACGATTAGCCTTAAAAATATAGTTCACATATGGAATATAAATTTTGAAAACATTACAAAAACAAAACACTTCATCCAATAAAGAATTCTACCATCCTCCCGCATCATTTCGTTGCTTGGTTACTTGCATTATTTTCATTGCATTCTCAATACCTTGATCTTTTCTTTGTAAGGATTGTGATAATTCATTTTTTGTACCTAAAATATCAATCATTAAATGCCTTGTAAAGATAAAATCAAAAGATTTTCTTGCACTGATTAAAACAATAGCCTTAAATGACTGTTGATGATGTATACCATCCTCCTTTATTATCTGAAGTACTTCAATTACAGATGCGTAATCAAAGTACAAAAATATGAGTTCCAACGGGTTTCACCAACTCTTTGCAATTTAGTTTCTTGATGAAAACCATGGCCACTAAGTGAATCTTCAGTTCTAAGATACAGAAGAATCTTCTCATGTTGAATGGTTTTAACATACAAAGGAATCATTGTCAATTTTTTATCTATTAAATGGATTGCAATGATCAGGTGGTTAAGTATTAAATCATTTTTGCTCTTGACAGTACAATAAAGGATAAGGCCAATAGATAATTACATAGTAGGAATTAAAACCCAATATTCAAGGATGATTTATTTATTGGATAATAACAAATTATTTTTCTAGTTGAAATGAAGCAAATGTTCTACGAAAACTAAATCTGCCTAAACTTACTTGTTTGCTTGAAATTTTTTGAATTATTGCTGATACATAATGCTATGTTGATATATTTTATTACTTTTATCACAAATGAAATTGGTATCACAGTTAAAAATTTTATGCCTCTTCTGTCCATCTGTTGAAGTTCCAAAATGAAATTCTGCGCTCAATCGGACAACAATGAAAACCAGAACAAAGAGCATAAATGAAGAGCTCACCAAATCACTCACAGTTTCCATGATATTTTCTTTTGTTGTTGATTGAAGCGTTTCTTCACAAGAGTAATTACAGCATAAGATATGCATGAAAAGATGTATTACAATTAAAAATGTAAAATTAGGTGCATTTAAAAAGAGGAGAAGCAGAATTTAAGATTCAGTAGGCTTTAAAGAAGCCATTTTGGTTGTTTGGCAGGATTTCAATTAAGTCCTGCTTACTGCTTCTCGAATCTTGCTACCTGCCTACCACACAGATGAGATTTAGAGGGTTACCTTATCATCATTCATCAATGGTTTCAAGAAGGAGAGCAACCTAACCCTGTATGAGAAATTTGGGGATTTTACACTTCGGTGGTCTTTGTAGCCCGAATCTGATCCCGTCGTTCCTTCACTGATTTACAAGGGGCACAGCCGGCGGCTGCGTCGACTTGCTGAGAGAGGGGCATAGCGCTGAGGAGTGAGGAAGGGAAGCCGGCGCTCCCCAATCACGAGCAGAAGAGGAGCGTGGCAATGTGGAAAACAAATAAGGGTTTAGCATTCAAATTTAGAAAAAAATGTTAGTTGTAAAAAATAGACAAAAAAAAATTGATATTTTCTATGTGTTTCCACCTTTATGTACTCCATTTCTGAAGATATAGAATTCTGTTCTGTAAATTATTTGGAAGTTCTGATATAATTACTATTCTTCCCTAGAATTCATGCTAGTGGGGAGTCTTAAATGCTACAGAAAAGTCAATCATGTATTTAGGGCAAATGAATTTTTATGAATCAACACTAAGGTTAGGTTTCTTATTTTTTTATTTATTATTGTATTTTTTCATAATTGCTATGTTAAACAACTCTGGTAAGTTTAATGATGTTTTGACCTTTTAAGTTCCCTCAATTACCTCACTTTCTCTTAAATTCTTCTTTGTGCGCCCTCATCCAGAATTGTCCATACGTAAGATTTAATCACTCAACATTTTATCTCGCCTTGTGATTTTTAAAATCTTTGATTTGCAGGTGTTGCCCGATGCAAGTCATATGTGAAGTTATGAACTCCTGTTCGATCATTGTTCAGGTGAACACATCTTTCTTTATACTTCTTTCAACCTAAGCTTCTTGATGAAATTAATATACTCTTTCTTAAATCATTTTTCTCGATTGTTTTGCAGCTTGATCAACTTTATTCAGAAGAATTTATTATTTGCTATTTTTGAGAGATCACAGCAATTTCTTTCATCTCCATACTTTTTGGTGGATACAAATATTCTTGTTTTGGTTCCTTTAGTTTGATTGGGTTGGTTCAGAGCTCTAGATGTCTTTCCGCTCTATCATTCGGGATGTAAGAGATAGTTTTGGGAGTTTATCTAGACGTGGCTTTGAAGTGAGGCTTATGAGCCATAACAAAGGAAAATCTCAGAGCTCGGTCCATGAATTGCATGAACCTCTAGTGATCCAGCCAAGTTGCTGGGCTAACCTTCCTCCTGAACTTCTCTGTGATGTTATTAAAAGGTTAGAGGCAAGTGAAAGCGCGTGGCCTTCACGTAAGCATGTAGTTGCATGTGCTGCAGTCTGCAGACCATGGAGAGAATTGTGCAAAGAAATAGTTAGAAGTCCAGAGGTCTCAGGAAAGCTCACCTTCCCTGTTTCCTTGAAGCAGGTAGTAATATTTATAACTTTGGTTTGCTGTTAAGGTTTTTTGTATGGCGGTTCCCATGCTTCTTTTTCGCTGTCATTGTCTCTATTGCAACAAGAATATTCATTTCTTCTTGTACAGCCTGGTCCTCGAGACGGGATGATCCAATGCTTCATTAAAAGGGATAAATCAAAGTCAACCTACCATCTTTATCTTTGCCTTAGCCCTGGTAATCTAGTGCCTTTCAGCCATTTCAAGCAGAATTACTATTATGTTTTTCTTATGCAATGTTCATTAGGACTTTTCGTGTTTTGTTGAGGTTGTCTAAAATGTTTAGATTATTCAAATTTAATTTAAATTTTTGGCTTGTCTTCATGGATAAGCTATAAATTAAATGATCCATAATTAACTTAAATTTGTGATTTTTTTCATATGGATAAAAAATATTTATTTTGTCTCAAATCTGTAGACGGATTTAACATTCATATTCTTTTAGTATTGAAGGGAATCCTTTGAAGACAAAATACACGAAGTAGAGAGAATTTCAGTTCCTCTTAGGTTTAGCATCTGAGCAGCTTAAAGGATTATAAGATGAATTTGTATTTGCGAGGATCCAATATTCTCATATCTTGGTATTTTATATTTCTTACATTATTAAAAATCATCCTTACATAGTATTAGAGCCTAAATGCACTTTAATAATTGATATTTCATTCATTCCCTATTCATTATTAATAACGTTTTGTGGCATGTAGTGAGTGGTAGCATTTTGTGCAGTGACCGTCACACATATACAATTATGATCAAGCATTGGCGGCATTCATAGTCAAAAGTTTGTGTGGTAGGGACAGCACAATAAGAAAGTGAATGGCCCGACTTGCATATAATAATGATAGCCTGTAGTGGATCAAGCAACTAACACGTGGTAGTGCTTCAAGATGTTATTAAAATAATAAGAGAGAGAGAGAGAGAGAGACGAATTAAATTTAAACTTTTGAATATTCTGTAAAATGTTTATTTGGTTTTATATATGGATGAAATTTCTTATAAAAATAAAAGAAAAATCTATCATTTAAATATTGAGATCTCCGATATTGCTGTTAAGATATATGTGTTGTCTTATATTTTAAAATTTTAAAAGATAATGTTTATCTATTTAAAATTGAAAAGTTTTTCAAACTATGATTTTGTGATAATTTGTTAATCAGCTTAAATAAATATATTCTTAATAATATGTTTATTTAATAGAGAACAAAAAAAAATGATAATGATTATTCATTTAAAATAAATATATTATTGATGGTTGATGCATGCTGGAAGATTCGCGACGATAGAGTAATAATATATTATTTTAGTGTTCAACAAAAATCCAAGACACATAAATAGGAGTAAGCAGGAGGAGACATCTCCATTTTATGTGAAAAAACTCTGAAAAGGGAAAAAATTACGGGCTTGGGCCAATTGAAGTACTCCACTAAGGAATTATCAGTATATAGATCCACTCTCTACTTAAATTAGAGAAGATGAAATTATAACGTTGATATAAACCAGTAGTCCAACAATAATAGTCGAACGAGTTGTGAATGTCATAGTTTTTGTTATGGAGTTATTAGTCTGACGTGAATTTTTTATATGGTGACTGTAGCGTCAGCTTGTCATAGAGGTCGTAGTTGAAATCCATGATAGTAGTTAGTCATGTAGGCAATACACCGTAGCTTCAAGGGCGTTGGTTGTCCACAAGGGTTATCGTAGGGAGTTGTGATAGCATTCGTAGGCTACAGAGGCTGTGGTTGGGAGTGACATGAGCTGTGAGTCATGTAGGCCGTAATTTGTCACATAGGCCGTTGTGCCGGGCTGTAATAGCGTACGTAGGCCACATAGGTTGGAGTTTAGAGCAGCGTGAGCTATGAGACGTGTAGGTTGTAGTTAGTAACAAACCTGTAGCGATGAGCTTTAAGAACATTTGTGGACGTAAAAGTCTGAGTTGAGAGTGGCACGAGCTGTGAGCTGTGAGATACGTAGGCCGTAGTTGATCGCATAGGCTGTAGCGAGGAACTTTAACAACGTTCTTAGGCTGTAAAGGATGAAGTTGAGAGCTGCATGAGCCGCCAGCCATGTAGGTCGTAGATGGTCATATATGTCGTAGTGGGAAGTTGCAATAACATTCATAAGCAATAGAGCTATGAGTTGGGAGTTGTAATAACATTCATAAGCAATAGAGCCACGAGTTGGGGACTGTGTGAGCTGCGAGCCACATTGTTCGTAATCAGTCACGTAGACCATAGTTGTGAGCTTAATAAAATCCGTAAGCCATAGAGGTTTGAATTTAGTGCTCTGTGAGTGTGAGCCATGTTGCCCATGCTGGTGAGCTACAATAATGTTCATAGGTCGCAAAGAAGGGAGTTAGAGAGCTGCATAAGCTATGAGCCACTTATGCCGTAGCGGGAAGCTATATTAACGTCTGTAGGCCACGGAGTCCAGAGTTGGGAGCTGAGTGTGTTGTTGGTCATGCAGACCGTAGTTGGTCACGTGAGTCATAATAGTGAGCTGAAATAACCTCCACAGACCATAGATGCTGGAATTTGGAGTTGCTTGTGTCGTGAGCCATAAAGATCGTAGTTGCCAATATAGGTCATATTGGTTGCAGAGGCCAAAGATGTGAGTTGTGAGAACATTAGTAGGCCATAGAGGCTGGAGTTGGGAGACCGTATCTGTTGCACTGTATGCGGTGTGCGCATCACACCTTCTTCAAGGTGTTATTACACTGTCTTTGGGGGTACATTGCTTCACCGTCTCTGGGGGGCGTTGCTTTGTAGAATGCTTCGTTACTTCACAAGACTGTTCTTTACTTCTCAGCGTATGTCGTGATTCCGTAAGGGAATTCATTGGAACGAGCAGCGTGCGGCCGATGAGCAGTGTTTGACAGTGGTCGACGGATGCGGGAGTGGGAAGTGTTTGTCGGGTCTTCAGTGTAGGATATCACTGTGATTTAACTCTTGATCAAGCTCTAGCTTCAACTCTTCCTCCCTACTCATGAAGGGGATATGACTCTATTTATAGAGTTTAGGTGAGACTTCCCTACAAATAAGGAATGAATATGGATCACTACATCAGATGATCTTCTATGAACATTTAGGTGTCTTTGTGGTGTCATAATTGAGTGATTTTAAACTTGTTGGATTCATCTTGTCTAGATACTCAATTTGACTATAAGCTTGTCTGATTTAGAATCCATTTGACGTTCCAATTTGGCATCTATAATATCTTGATCTTGGCTTGATTTGACTTGGATTGAGGAAATTTTGGCTTCATTGCGTTCGTCTTGTCGAGTCAATTAATTTGACTGCAAGTTTGTTGAAATCAGAGTGTTGGTTGATTTTTAGTTTAAGTTTGAATGTCTTTTTGTAGAAATGCTCCGAGATTCATGTTGATCAACTCGTGATTCATGTCAAATAACAAAATTTGTTGATGATGTATTAGTTGTCCCCCAATTTTCTGGTGATTTCACATGATTGTCCAAAAATTATCAAGATTGCAAACATCGGGCAAAATTTCTAAAAGCATTGGGAAATTTTTTATTTTCTTGCAGTGTCCTGTGACAGGCAGCGGTGGTGGGAGGTAACACACGATATAGGACACAACAGCTGCTGGCAGATAACAACGACAACTTCAACGACTAGCGAGCAATGCTAGGGGTGTGAGTCAAGCTGACTCGTGAGCTGGCACGAGCTTGGCTGGATAGGTGGCTCGTGAATTGAGCTCGATGAGTTTACAAGCCAAGCTCAAGCTAGCCACAACTCTACTCATTAGCTCGTGAGTCAACTCCTTTTAAAAATATTAATATAGAATTGACAATCTTTAAAGTATTTAAAATATTTTAAAAAACAATATTTTGTATTTTATGTTAAGTGATTTCTTATTATTCCTTTCATAATTATTTATTTTATTTGTAATTTGATTAGAACATTATTTGAAATCAATATTATTCTCTTTTATAATAAAACAATTTGACTCGTGAGCCAACTCGAACTCTCAGACTTGAGCTCGAGCTCGAACTCGATAGATGTTAGCAAGTTTAAGCTCATGTTGTGAGTAGCTCGAGCTCGACTGAACTTATGTACACCCCTAGGCAGTGCCGACAGCGGTGGCATCGGTGATGCGATAGGACTGTGCGGGTCACGCGGTGATGCGACACGGTGCAATGGGTCGGTTTGCATTCCGAGCCATGTTGTTGTGTGATCGACCCACACGTGGTTACATGATCGATTCCTTGGTTATGCAATTAAATGACCACATAGATCGTGATCCACGTGCGCGAGATCCCCGTTGATTTGGATAGATCAGATGACCGGGGCACGACATCATTGTAGGGACATGAGGTTGAGGCTAATCCGTGTGAAGATGCGATTCCCACTTTGATTTGGGTTGGATCGGACGGTGGTGAGATTGACGGGGCCCAAATTTTGGCTCTTTTGAACAATATTTTACCCATTTTGAACCTATATATAGACCAAAAAAATTAGAAAAGTTTCCCAGCCTATGTATGCGATCAACGGAGCTCCCTCGGCTTGCTAATTGGAGTCTTCCATCTTGTTTGTGCGATCAACGGAGCTCTCATTTTGCATTGCTGTTGCTAGGGGTGTAAATGAGTTGGAACTTGAGCATGCCCAAGGCTTGTTTGTGATGAACTTGTTCAAATTTTTTATTTTTTGAATTCAGCTCATATTCAAAATGGTACGCGAGTCCCAATTTTAGTTCGAGCTAGAGATGTTCAAAATATGTTTGAAAAAACCTCGTGTTTCAAAATATGTTTGAAAAAACCTCGTGTTCAACTTGATAAAGCCAACAAGCCTTTTTTTTTATGCACAGGCTCACAACTAAATTTTTTAGGGCATTTAAACATGTGATTAAATTTGAAAAAATTCTTCTTCCTCATGTGGGATTAAACGGAGGTGGGCCAGGCAAACACAATGACAAAAAAAAAAAAGGTTCCCGGAACATCTAAAAATAAATTTTTAAGGGCCATTTAGATAAATACGCCCATTTCTTATGGATTTGCAGTATTCACGTATGGGACCATTAGGCAGGGGGGTTGGACGTGGGATTTTAAAAAAATTGGCCATTTACATACATACCAACCAATTCTTATGTATTTACATATCCAACACCTAAAACATTAAAGGGAAGTGGGATTTGTGAAAATTGTAGGTGCATTTACATACGCATCAC